CATGGTTTCCATCACTTCTTCTCCAACTCTGATGAACTATATTAAAGCTGTAAAACTTTTCTCATCTTCTTCATCTTGTCTCTTGATGTTTCATATTTGCTTTTCATCAGTTAGTTCTACAGATGAGACTGAATTAAATTATGACATAATAAGTTTTGAAATGTTCAAACAGACGTCGACATGTCAGATTAAATGTGTAGTTCATGACGTCACTGTGTGTCTGTGTTTGTCGCCCAGCTGCCAGCTTGACCTCTCCCCTCTGGCCAAAGAGCAGACCCATCACCTGGAGCTGCCGCTGGAGGAGTCCCGGGGCGTGCTGGTGCTGCTGGTCACGCTGACCGCCTCGGCCCACGTCTCCATCGCCGACCTGTCCGTCACGCCGCTGGACGACCCGCAGGAGCGCAGGGAGATACTCAAACGATACGTGAGCGGCACCAATTAATAAAATGAATAAATTAAAGGTTAGTTCAGGTGGAACATCCATTTGAAAAATACTCGTTCCTCCTCCAGGGTGTGTTGAAGTCGTTCTCTAATTTAAAAGACGTGGGCATGGTGCAGGTGAAGGTGATGAGAGCAGAGGGACTCATGGCTGCTGATGTAAATGGTAAAAAAAAATCTGATTTTTAAAGATATATTCATTGATTTATTTATTATTTCATACAGCAGCTGTGAATACGGCGTTCAGTATTCTGCTCATTAACCCCGTTGTGTCCTCAGGTAAGAGCGATCCTTTCTGTGTGCTGGAGCTGAACAACGACAGACTACAGACACACACTGTTTACAAGAACCTCAGTCCAGAGTGGAACAAAGCCTTCACCTTGTGAGTTACAGCGTTTTATTAACCTGTTATTACACAAACACATTTTTAAAACACAGTGTGCCCAAAATAAAAACTTTTTAGAATAAGTGTATTTTAAAAGGTTCAAAAAACTGAATTTGTTTATTGGAATTTAGACCAAATTCTTGGTTCATTCATCAACCTGTGTCTCTCAACTTTAAAGCTCCTCCAGTGTAAAGGTCTGTGTCCA